GGGGTCCAGAGGAGGGGCAGGGCTGGGAAGAGGATTATTTTGGCAGCCTCCTGGGAGGCATAGCCCAAAACACCTTCCAGCTCTCCTCTTAAAACTGTCCCAACTTCCAGAAAGAAAGTGAAAGGGAGTGTGGTTCAGTAAGGTGGACATTGCCTTGCAAGAGAGAGAGAGACCTGGATTCTGGTCCCAGGTATTGCTCTGTCCCACAGTGGGGTAGCAGCTATCCCACTGCCATATATTCATTTTATCCAATGAATATTAAATTCAAGCTGCAGAAAGACGATCAGAGCAGGGTTTTGAGCAGGTGGGTCAAACTCTTTTGGCCCCATGGGCCGGATGAGGGTCTCTGGGCCAGTCTGCAGGCTGGATCTGGCCATGCCAGAGCCAATGGACAGGGCCAGTCCAGTGGGATGCCACATGCAGTATGTTCCCTATGCTTGGCCCCTGTTCTGAAGGCAATATGTACTAGCCCTGCTCTGGGGCTTGCACTGCAGGTAGTGTGGGCTGGACCCAAAGCTGCAAGCCCCAGAGCTTCGGGGCTGGCATGGGGCACATGCCACATGCAGCACCCCACTGGACTGCAGCTCTAGGGCCTACCAGGATTAGGTCCCAGACCATCCATGCTCTCCAGAGCCAGTATGCAGGACTGGCCAGTTGGGTGTTGCATGCTGTGTGCACCCTGTGTCTGCCACCTGTGCTACAAGCTACACCTATGGCATTGGGTCTAGCCTGTATACCAGACCAGCTCTGTATGCCCCACACCATGTGCAGGGTTAGTATGAGATCCACGGACCAGATCATGAAGCTCCATGGGCCAGTTCCAGCCCATGGGCCATAAGTTTAACTCCTCTGGTTTAGGGCATATAAAGGTGAAGCAGGATTTGGCCATTACTGTACAAATGCAAGTTAATCAACTAGGTGCAATGGCCTATTTAAAAATAAACATAAGGTTAATATTATTGGCTTCTGTCTTCTTGTGAGCTTTTATTTAATTTTTGTGTGTTAATGTAAGGTTAAATGTTTTCAATTATTTAACTTGAGATAGATTCAGAATCCAAATGGACTTTTAAAGTAATATCTTATTCACTATATGCAACTAGGATAAAATGTTCCACATACCAGGCCCAGTATTGTTGTTGCTTTGGGTGTACCGATGTTCACAAAAAACCCCAGACATTTGAAGATACACAGGAGACTGTAGCTGACATGGAGCACAGCCATGTTAGGGATAATTTGAGGGAGTCCGTTGCTAAAATTCCATGATGAATTCCTTGTTTCGGATGGAGTTCACTGTTCTTGCAACTGGTAAATAATCCTTCCTGAAGATGATTTTATCCCTGAGGCTTATAAAAATACTTTTGAAGAGCATTTTTTTGTTTAGATTGCAGAAGATTATATCAGATGTAAGGTATTTAAGGAACATTACTGGGAGGGAACTCACTATTCTCTCCAAAAAGTAGTTAAGAACCTCATTTTCAGTTTTCAAGTGCTGTGCAGTTTTTCATACTTATTACTGTACTCTTGAACCCTGCTGTACTCGTAATGTGCTCGGTGTTCCCCAGGAGCAAAGTGTAAATATTTATAATAAATACACGTAATATGGATTTCCTTGCTAATTGATACTGCCTCCTTGCTGGACTGCAGTTATAAGATAATAAATTTGTTCAAACTGGAAGAAAAATAAATAACTTCCCACCTCTTCTACCCACCTGCCTTTTCCTGCCCAGACTGCAAGAAGTAAGGTGCAAATTTTTAAAAGTGACAGTAATTATAATCATTGTAGTAACTTAAGTTAGAATGTAATGAGTTCAGCATTACTTGACGCCTTTAAACAAGATGTAATAGCCCAACCCCTATGGGTGGGTGGTCCAGTGACTCAAATTTTATCCTTGAGCTTCATGTGCCTCTGCAACTGGTCCCAAAAGTAGTAGTGGGCACAATATGTAAGTTCATACTGCTTCCAAGATGCTTCTGGATAGCAGTGCTTACAAGTAGACTCTGCCCATTCATTTCCGCACACTTGTACTGAATTTGGTAGTGAATCCCTTCTCGGGGTTCCCTCTGCAGCCAGTCCTAAGGCCTCTTGAGAGGAGAAGCAAATGGGCAGGTCCCAGGAGGCAGTACTGGGAACACGATGGGCATATCCAATGTGGCTCACAGCTGGGGGTTTTTCAATTGAATTTTCTATATAAAACAGAACTCCATCTTTGTACTCCACATTGTTCCTTTGCTTTAGAAAATATTTTCTGAAGAAGTGACTCTAGGTACTCTCCCTTAAAGTAAACACTTGGCTACTTTGTTCTATTTGCACTCTCTTCCTGGTTACTTATTTATAGTTCTTTGCACTTGTCATTGCACTTGAAGTCTTTGGTTTCCCCTTCTTGCAAGTCACAGCAGAACACCAAAATTCATGCGTGACAAATAAATACAACAGTTTTGGCATATCCCATATTTATTCAAATTCAAGATGAGGTTTTTTTCCCTATTTAACATGGGGGAAAGAAGCCCCTTGTCTTGGATTTGAAATTTGGGTGCCAGGTGGCTGATGTGGCTCTGACTCGGGGTCAGAGTTGGAGTTGGAGTCAGAACTGCAGCTGCTGCCCACACCCCACAGCATATGCTTCCCTGTCTGCCCCCACTGTTGCTGTCTCTGCTTCCCCACCTTCCTGTCCCTGCCACTGCTTACACTTACCCCTCTGGCTTCTGCATAGCTCTAGCCGCACTCCTGCCCTAGCCATGGAGCACGTGGTTGCTGTGACCTCAGCCCAGCCATGAAGCAGTGTCAGTGGCAGCAGCTCCAAGGCCCAACCTAGAGCTGATGCCACTACAACAGATGATGTGGGCAAGCAGAGGCTGTGAGGGGTAGTAGGGAAGCAGAGGCAGTGGCAGGGGGACAGAGACTGTGGGGCAGAAGTGAGTGGAGGCAGAGGCTGTGGGGAGGGGCAGGAAACAGAAGGGACTGGGCAGAGGTGGGGAGGCAGGCACCAGGGTGTATAGGCAGGAGGCAGGGCAGATGCTGGGGTGCACAAGGGTAGGATTACTTGACTCCTCTGCCACCTTCCTCTCTGCCACTGCTTGCCTGTGGGAGGGACAAAATTAATCCAACCCTCCAATAATTAGATTCTAGACACAGAAGATGATAAAATTATAAATGTGGTATTCGCTTTGTGGGGAGACTAGACCTGTCTATACATAAAGAACTCAACCAAATATTTTCAATCTAAATATTTTTTTGTTAACTCCATCGATTTTAGTAATAGGCTACAGGGGCCTCTGTCTTGGTTGCATCACAGTAAGGTACTTGTTAGTAAATCATGGAACATAGGAAGAGAATGGGTTGAACTAAAAATGAACTGCAGATTGATAGCACCTGCATCTTCATTGCTTGATGTTAAGGAAGCCTTGAGCTCCACCTGTGATGTTGAAAGATTCAGTTCTTGCCATGAAACGTATACCATAAGCTTTCCCAGGAACAAGAATTTCCAGTGCTATTTTAAGATTTTGAAAATATCACGCACATTTTCAGTAGCTGTTTCTCTACATTTATAGATATCAGAAATCCTTCTGTTGCAGTTAAAAGTAGACAACAGGTTATTCAAGATAACAACAAGCGAAGGACTTTGTTGCAAGATAACAGCTGGATAAAGAAGAGATCTGAGGAGGAAAAGTAAGAGCGATAGTGTACAACATATTTCTCCTGATTGCAGGTTAACATCTTGTATTCCTTTGCCTTGATTTGCTGTCTGATTTTTTGCATGTACAACCTTTTACTAACTGGATCTGTGCTTGTGTTTGAATGTATTGACACAGCCATGTGAGGCACTGACTGCCTTCTGCCCAGTGCTAACATAACTAGCCTCCATTTTTATTTTAGTGGGGTATGTAGCATTTTATAAGGCTGATGTCTCACAGGATTTGAGGATTAAAAATGACAGAGGGTGCACTCCTAAATGCTTTGATTGCATGAATATTTAATTGTTAGGTCTGCAACACAGTGAGTAATTAAAGGTGGTATATCCCATTAAGTAACTTAATTACATCAAGACTGCTACTTTAAATGTAATGGTGCCCTAATTATTACATTATATTGTTATAATACCTAGAATCCCCAACTAAGATCAGGCCACTATCGCACTGGTTGCTATATAAACAGATTCCTCTGTGAAAGAGTTTACACAATCAGTAGAAGCAAGACCTGTACTCCGTGGAATTACCATGATGTAAAAATGGTGCAAGATCTGAATTAGGACACAAGTCTTTGTCAAGAAATTATCTTATTGCTTTAAGATATCTCTATTATATTTATGTCCTTAAAAACTGTTTGATTTGTAATCAATAATCTGCCTTTTAAAAATTGTAGCACCGATGAAAATTATGGGAGGGCTGTCCTAAACCAATACAAATCCCAAGATGGCTTACACAGGTACAGTAGCTTTTCTATACCTCTTTGAAATTATAATGTCAGAGATAAAGGGAAAGGCACATGCTTGTAATAAACATCATTTTATATGGAGAGCTTGTTTTATTCAGTTTGCGCCCATTCC